TAAGGAAAGGAACAATGATTACGAGATGAGCATCCTAGGTGAAGTCCTTGAGCTTGTGCAGGAAAGATCACACTGGTAATTATTTGCAAGAGTTTGGTTAACGTTTACACGAACAAAATCTGGGTTTTGTACAGAAACTCGTTCTGCAGGAGCCAACTGTGGTATCTTAAGTGACCATATTAAAAATTTTATATTTTTTAGCCTAAGTCTAGTGGTTATGAGTGGATGTTGTTTTTGAACTGTGTTTAGAGTGTGGGAGCTAATGTATTGGCACCCCAGGATGATGGAAAGGAACAATGATTACTAGATGAGCATCCTAGGTGAAGTCCTGGAGCTTGTGCAGGAAAAATCACACTGGTGTTTACAAGAGCTTGGTAAAAGATTACACGAAAAGAATTTGGATTTTCTACAGAAACTCGTTCTGCAGGAGCCAGCTGTGGTAACCTAGGTGACCATATTAAAAATTTCAAAATTTTTAGCCTAAGTCTAGTGGTTCTAAGTGGATGTTGTTGTTGAACCGTGTTTAGAGTGTATGAGGTAATGTATTGGCACCCTAGGATGAAGGAAAGGAACAATTATTACGAGATGAGCATTCTAGGTAAAGTTCTGGAGCTTGTGCAGGAAAAATCACATTGGTAACAACTTACAAGAGTTTGGTAAACGAGTACACAAACAAAATCTGGGTTTTTTTTATAGAAACTCATTCTGCAGGAGTCAGCTGTGGTAACCTAGGTCACCATATTAAAAGTTTCATATTTTTTAGCCTAAGTCTAGTGGTTCTCACATTATCTGGGCACTCCTTCAGGGAAGAATGAAATAATGAATGGAAAAAAAAATCTCAAACATTTCATTAAGGTGATCAAAATCAGTACAATTACAACATAACATGACATTCATAAACATAAACTCAATCTTAACAACACATACAAGTCTATGTTATTAATGTTACAGTAATCCTACAAATTTTTTAATGGTCATAAAATAATGACAGTTATCCGTATAACTTATAAGTTCACCTGCATTAGAAAATATTTATAAAATTATATATCATAAAACAACTAACTATTGTTTCGTTCTTTGGATGATGATGGTTCGTGATATGGTGGAACAAATTTGCGGAGGATGTCTTCCACATGCTTAATTTTTTCTGCCCACAAAGGTAGTCAAATGACAAGTTTTGGTGTTTCCTTGACCTGTTCAATTGTTGGAGGACAAATTTCAGTCGAAAAAACCTTCACTACGTTGCGATGCACAATATTAAGTAGTAGTTTATTCCAAATGCACTGAAGGATTGTACCTAAACCCACATACATAATTTATATCAAAAACATCCATCAAAAGGGAATTAAAACTTATTTTAATATAACTACTAAAAGGATGGGTTACAAGATTGAGTAACATAATGGAGCCAACTCCAATATTATCTCTATAGGCTTAATACCTCTTTTGGTCCCTCGAAAGAGGGGTTGTGTTCAAAATAGTCCTATCTTTTTTAAAAAGTAACAATTGGTCCCAATTTTTGAAAAAAATGTTCAAGTTAATCCTTTTCGCTAACGACGTCAAAAATTTAACGTTGCAACTGCCCCCTGGACTAAACTTGATGAGGTGTCAATGTTAAGTGATTGCGTGGCAGTGAGGTTAAAATTGTAATAAAAAAATAGATTAGGTGGCATTTTTTTTTAAAGAGGTTAAAAAAGAGGGCTTAGGGTTTGTGAGGAAAAATGCGATTTTGAAAGCGAGGGAGGCTCGGAGTTGGGGTATGGTTTTAGGGGCTCTTGGGAGAAAGGGTAATCCGAGGTTTTGGAGAGGTTGGAGAAGAAGATGAAGGAGAGAGAATTGGATTACATTGTGGTTTTGATGTCGAAGTTAAGTCTTGGGAGGGTTACTCTGTTTGAGGATTCTATGGACACCTGGATTCAGATTGCGTGTCCGAGGTTGTCCATTGCAGTTAGTGATTTGTGATTGAGAATGTAGGAGTACACGGGGAGGTGAAAGTATGGTTTTTGCTTTAGGTGATTATTTTGTACATAGCAAATCATACTAACAGGGGTTAAGTTAGGGATACAGATATCAGTCTCTAATGACATATTTTGCAACATCTATCCTGGACTTTAAGTTTCAATTCATGTTTCTAATTTTACCACTATAAACTCTTGAATTTGACCGATTATAATTGAGATGAAAGTCGAAAATGACTAGCACGGGTGATAAACTTTAACTGATCTAAGCTAATGTATACACTAAAATTCTTAGGACTTAACTCAAAAGGGGATAAAGTTACAATCTTCAAAAATATGAACCATTTTTACCATACAACTATTTTTTTTCTTAAAAACTTAGTGAAACGTGTAGTATTTCATTGACTAAATCTCTAAAATACAAATTATTTCTATAAACGAAAATAAATAAGAAAAAGAGAGAAAATATAATAAAAATATTAAGTTTCTATTGGTGATAAGCATAAAAACTAATTTGATAGGATTAATGTCAATACCCAATTTCATACCTAATTTTGTACGTAAAATAAATTATATAATTATGGTTTGTTTTTGTTTTTAGTTTTATTCTTTTGTAATTTTCATTTTTACTTTTTAATTTTCATTTTTACCTTTTAATTTTCATTTTTACTTTTGTTTTAATATAATTAAAAAAGATAAAAAAGAAAAGAAAATGAAAGGTTTAAAAAGAGGGGGAGAAAAGATGACAAAGGGGAAGATGCATTTTGGGAATGGTAGGACGGAGAAAAATAGGTAGAGGGGAATCTTCAAATTGGTTTTGACATCATCAGAATCCCGAAGGAAAAACGTTTAACTCCCTTCACCTTCGTGGATCCAGGGACGATTGTACACATTCACCATAACTCTCTTGTACCTGCACAAAAAAAGAAAATTGAATCTAAGAGAACAGAGGAGACTAGAACAAAAGAAAAAACCTTTTTTCTTCGTATCTAAGCTTTTGGTCCTGCTCATGTATATGAATGCATGCTCCCATTATATGCGTTTGGATGTGAAGGAATGATGCTTGCACCAGAATGTTTAATCCCAAATCGCGATTTTGCTTCTAACCCTAACCCCAATTTTTTTTTAACCTCTCTCACAGCATAGTACATTGCCACGCAGTCAATTTCTTTTCTACCCATTTTAATTTTGCACGTCAATAAACCTATTACTGCCATGTAATCACTTAACACTAACACGTCATTAACTTTATTCCAGGGGCAGCTGCAACGTTAAATTTTTGACGTCATTAGCGAAAAGGATTAACTTGAACAGTTTTTTCAAAAGTTGGGACCAATTGTTACTTTTTAAAAAAAGTAGGACTATTTTAAACACGACTCCTTTTTCGAGGGACCAAAAGAGGTATTAAGCCTATCTCGAAATTAAGGATCTTGAAGAACTTTCTTGTGCAACGAAGCCTTCATTGTCGTTGTTGGGTCCTGGTCACATTTAATCATTCATTAGTTGACATAAACAACATATTAAAAACTTTAAAAGAAATAATACCTTGATAGTCAACTGCATGTCTCCTAAACCATTGGGCTTGCACTCTTTCAATATAAAAGCAACAAATGGAAGGACCTGTGATGATTTTGCCTCATTAAGGGAGTTGACGTTCTCGAATTTTTCATCAGTGACGAGATCTGCATTTGTCAAAGTCATGTGAAGAAGATATAATTGTGTAACTAAACATTTTTATTCACATTTTTGAACAAAAGTTCTGCCATGGTGTTTAATTAACATTTGTGTCCATTTCCACGCATTTGAGTTGAAATCTCGTTCATATGTTGCGTCAGCAACACCACGAGCAAATTATTGTGTCGATTTAGGTTCTTCTATTCTTGTCCAATTCAGGAAAGCCGCTTGAACATTACCTGCTGGAACAGGTATCAGCGATGCCGAAGAGTCACATTTTTTCAGAAATGATTCAAGGACGTCATCATCATAAACAAGGTCTTCTCATGAATCCATGATTATCCTTCAATAATCTGCCAGAATTTGAATTCCATGATATGGACAATACAACATTACGATGACAATATTAGCACACAAGAATTGAAATATTTTTAAAGAACTTACAAATATATTGAACTTGATTACATATCAATGGGTGTGTGCGACGTATTTAAAGACGTTTTCATGAATTTATTGATATATAATATAAAAATTTCTTAATATAATATAATATTATTACTTTTCTTACTTGATGTTTCAATTAATGACAAAAGCTTTGTTGATTAACGAGCCAGATACTTTTTGCCACAAATTGGTGAAAGAGAAAATCTTTTTGCTTGATTGAATGAACTTGCATTAAATGTGGGGAATGAAAAAGTAAGTTGGAATTAATGTGAGGTATGAGAGAGAAACCCAACTTAATGTGCACTCTTTCGTAGCTTGTATTTGGTGCTTGACAGACTTCTTCCCTCCAAAATACTTCATCTTTCTTCCTTCTCCGTCAACTTTCTTCTTTCATTAAATACACATTCTATTATCTTCTTCTCGAGGTTGTTGAGGACAACATTCAAAAATGGTGCACGTAATCCTTTAGTGGAGGTTGGTGACGAAAGCTTTAGCTTCATTAAAGGGTGTAGTAAATAGAGAGTGTGTAGGTATGAATGTGTAAATTTTATTTTTAGTTTTTAATGGAGGCACTGAAATGTTTTTTTTTTAATTTCACAATCCCAATAATGTTTATTATTGTGTTTATTTTATTTTCATTTTATTTGATGTTCATACCCATTGTCGTATGAAGGATTAGATGATGATTAATCAAATATCACATTGTTGGTATATGTTCATAGGCTTTTTGTTATCAATTATTATGTGATGATGAATGATGACTATTTTTTATTTTCATTCCACTATGATCAGGCTGGGTATATGTCGTTATTATGGATAACACCACACGTAATGTCAGTGAACTGCCTGGGTGTAATGCCAATATTGATGACCCTACTGAAAGCTTGTTGGAGTTGGAGCCAACATTGCATGTGCTTTCACACAATGGAAGAAGCAAAAAAAAATTACACAAACTATGCCATTAGATGTGTATATGTTGTGCGCATAAGAACATCTAAAAAAGATAACAACAACAATGTCAACTACTTGAGATTAGTTTGCTCAAGGGAAGGGAAATATGTCTCTTCAATCAAGCCTGAGGTGAAAACACTTCCTAGCCAAACCAACCAATGTCCAACTGGCATAACCATTGCAAGGAAGGATGATAAATGGTTTATAAGGACCGTTGTCCTAGACCACAGTCATGATCTATGCCCAAAAACCTCCAAGCTAATTCCTGGCAATAGGAAATTGAGCATGCAAGCTAAACGCACATTGGAGGTCAATGATGATGCTGGAGTCCGGATTAATAAGAGTTTCCTTAGCATTATGAGCGATGCAGGTGGATTTGAAAATATGGACTTCATAGAGCGAGATGCGCGAAACTACATTGGCCAATACATAAGATCTTTATGTAAGGATGGTGATGGACAAGCCCTCCTACGACACTTTCCATCAATGAAAGATTTCAATAACGATTTCTTTTATGAAATTGTATTGTATGAAGGCAATACAATTTGTAGTGTCTTTTGGGCAGATGCAAGAACTCGAGACGCCTGTGAAGAATTTGGTGATGTGGTGTCTTTCAACACCACTTACTTAACAAATAAGTATGACATGCCATTTGCGCCTTTCGTCAGAGTTAACCATCATGGTCACTCCATTTTACTTGGTTGTTGATTGCTCTCGTCGGAGGACACTGCCTCTTTTGTATGGTTGTTCCAATCTTGTCTAAGACACATGGGTAATAAGCCCCCAAATGGGATTATAACTGATCAATGTAGGGCAATGGCGAATGCCATCGAAGAAGTATTGATGTAAGTGTTGATGTACTTGTCCGTAGCCCTTTAGCAGTGAAGCGAAAAGGACGACCACGCACCAACAGGTTAAAGTCAGTCGTTGAGAAAAGAACCAAAAAAGGGAAAACTTCATCATCCAAAAAAACTTCAACATCATTCGTACAAGATTGTGTAAGTAATGAAATTGTATGTTTCTTCCATTTATTACATCATTTTGTTACATGTATTCTAATTATAATTGTGTTCATTCAGGACAAACAATACCTGATGTGATAAAAAGTCCAGAGGTCGTGCAATATGGATCCCAATGTTACCAATCTTACCAAGTATCACAACAATCCGAAGTGTCTCCTTCTGGATTTATGTCTTTGTTGCCAACTGTACAAAACAATTTCGATAACAACATTGCTTGATGTAAATACTTCCTACTTCTTTTTGTATGCATATAACATTATTGTGTAAATGTTGTGTAAATAAATACATGATTTTTATGGTAAAGCATTGGTTGATGACCACTTTGAAATTAATTGAATGGGCCAAAAAACCTTCTCGTAATCGATTACAAGTTATCTGTAATCGATTATAGCCCGTACTGCGTACATATAACTACCCGCTCTTCAACGATTTATCCCCACATCCCACACTTTAGGTATCTTGCTTTGTCAATATAACTACCCAGTCTTCAACCTACTTTCCCCACGTCCCTCACTTTAGGTTTCCTCTACTTAAGTACCCAGTCTTAAAGTTGTTGAAGTACCCTCCCAAGATTAATGTTCATCTGATAACCCTAACAATCGTGCAATAGTTGATCGTGAAACAAAGAAACGAAGGCCATCTTCTTCTCGTGATGGACGTCGTCGCCAACGCAATCCAACACCATCCCCACCATCATCCCCACCACCACCAAACAATGAACTTTTCTCCTCTGATGAACAATATGAGAAATTTGCAAACCATTTTTTCAATTGTGAAATATTGGAAAGCAAATATCTCGAAGATGCTTACTTTGAAGGAAGAAATTTTCAATTCTACGACATATTGTCTGAGGCTGGGCTGACGAAATTTGTGTCCTTAAATAGAGATTTCTAGCCATAATTAGTAAACGTGTTCTACAACAACATGTCCATTTCGGATACCGGTGTTATTCGAAGCGAAGTCAAAGGGGTCAAAATCAGAGTAAGCCCTAAAGTATTTAATGAGCTCACTTCCCTCCCATCCGCTAGTGTTCGTTATGAAGGAGGAATTATCGATGAGTGGAAAGAGCACTACGATTTTGTAAGTTTTAGGCAACTCGTGTGTAGAAATGATGCTCACATACAAAGCAAAATACTGGAAGGGTAAATGAAGGTTCAACATAGGATACTTCATTATTTTTTTACTCGAGTACTAATTCCTCGTGTAACTAATATTGGCCAGGCATCTGAAGAGGATATTATGCTACTCTGGGCCCTTTTCAATTCCATGGAAATTAACTGGGGACATCTTATCAGATACAGGATGAAAAGGGCATTAAAGGACAACGCTAGACTACCTTATCCTCATTTGATAACCGTCTTCTTGGAACACTTTCAAGTCCCTACTGAGACTGATCTATGTACACAAATTAAGGCCAAACAAAGGATGGTAAATGAAGTTATATGCTTATTCGGTTATGTGCAAAATCAAGAGGGAGTGTGGGTTCCAAAAGAGAATGCCCACAATTAAGAACGTCAAGGCAGACAACAAGAAGATAGTGAAGAAGTCAGTTCTTCTACAACACTAAATGATGTAATCAACCGCATCGAAGAACTGCAGACCTTTGTTGGTACAAGGTTTGGAAACATGGACATCACAATGGGGACAATATTTGATTCGTTGGAATCGCGAGTTACTAACATTGAGGACCAACTCCAACACTTGTGCACCCGCTTTGATAACGAACCTCGTACTTAGATTTGGTTAGATTTATTTATTGTCATTTTGAACATTCTTGGATTACTATGTTGGCAGTTCACTATTGTAATGTTTTTAAAACTCAAGTGGGTAATGGAAATTTAAAGTTCTCGTCATGAATGTAAACATCAACCTTTTATGAATTATTGTTGATAAATACGTACATGAATAAACCAAGCTCTGTAATTGACNATTAGCGAAAAGGATTAACTTGAACAGTTTTTTCAAAAGTTGGGACCAATTGTTACTTTTTAAAAAAAGTAGGACTATTTTAAACACGACTCCTTTTTCGAGGGACCAAAAGAGGTATTAAGCCTATCTCGAAATTAAGGATCTTGAAGAACTTTCTTGTGCAACGAAGCCTTCATTGTCGTTGTTGGGTCCTGGTCACATTTAATCATTCATTAGTTGACATAAACAACATATTAAAAACTTTAAAAGAAATAATACCTTGATAGTCAACTGCATGTCTCCTAAACCATTGGGCTTGCACTCTTTCAATATAAAAGCAACAAATGGAAGGACCTGTGATGATTTTGCCTCATTAAGGGAGTTGACGTTCTCGAATTTTTCATCAGTGACGAGATCTGCATTTGTCAAAGTCATGTGAAGAAGATATAATTGTGTAACTAAACATTTTTATTCACATTTTTGAACAAAAGTTCTGCCATGGTGTTTAATTAACATTTGTGTCCATTTCCACGCATTTGAGTTGAAATCTCGTTCATATGTTGCGTCAGCAACACCACGAGCAAATTATTGTGTCGATTTAGGTTCTTCTATTCTTGTCCAATTCAGGAAAGCCGCTTGAACATTACCTGCTGGAACAGGTATCAGCGATGCCGAAGAGTCACATTTTTTCAGAAATGATTCAAGGACGTCATCATCATAAACAAGGTCTTCTCATGAATCCATGATTATCCTTCAATAATCTGCCAGAATTTGAATTCCATGATATGGACAATACAACATTACGATGACAATATTAGCACACAAGAATTGAAATATTTTTAAAGAACTTACAAATATATTGAACTTGATTACATATCAATGGGTGTGTGCGACGTATTTAAAGACGTTTTCATGAATTTATTGATATATAATATAAAAATTTCTTAATATAATATAATATTATTACTTTTCTTACTTGATGTTTCAATTAATGACAAAAGCTTTGTTGATTAACGAGCCAGATACTTTTTGCCACAAATTGGTGAAAGAGAAAATCTTTTTGCTTGATTGAATGAACTTGCATTAAATGTGGGGAATGAAAAAGTAAGTTGGAATTAATGTGAGGTATGAGAGAGAAACCCAACTTAATGTACACTCTTTCGTAGCTTGTATTTGGTGATTGACAAACTTCTTCCCTCCAAAATACTTCATCTTTCTTCCTTCTCCGTCAACTTTCTTCTTTCATTAAATACACATTCTATTATCTTCTTCTCGAGGTTGTTGAGGACAACATTAAAAAATGGTGCACGTAATCCTTTAGTGGAGGTTGGTGACGAAAGCTTTAGCTTCATTAAAGGGTGTAGTAAATAGAGAGTGTGTAGGTATGAATGTGTAAATTTTATTTTTAGTTTTTAATGGAGGCACTGAAATGTTTTTTTTTTAATTTCACAATCCCAATAATGTTTATTATTGTGTTTATTTTATTTTCATTTTATTTGATGTTCATACCCATTGTCGTATGAAGGATTAGATGATGATTAATCAAATATCACATTGTTGGTATATGTTCATAGGCTTTTTGTTATCAATTATTATGTGATGATGAATGATGACTATTTTTTATTTTCATTCCACTATGATCAGGCTGGGTATATGTCGTTATTATGGATAACACCACACGTAATGTCAGTGAACTGCCTGGGTGTAATGCCAATATTGATGACCCTACTGAAAGCTTGTTGGAGTTGGAGCCAACATTGCATGTGCTTTCACACAATGGAAGAAGCAAAAAAAAATTACACAAACTATGCCATTAGATGTGTATATGTTGTGCGCATAAGAACATCTAAAAAAGATAACAACAACAATGTCAACTACTTGAGATTAGTTTGCTCAAGGGAAGGGAAATATGTCTCTTCAATCAAGCCTGAGGTGAAAACACTTCCTAGCCAAACCAACCAATGTCCAACTGGCATAACCATTGCAAGGAAGGATGATAAATGGTTTATAAGGACCGTTGTCCTAGACCACAGTCATGATCTATGCCCAAAAACCTCCAAGCTAATTCCTGGCAATAGGAAATTGAGCATGCAAGCTAAACGCACATTGGAGGTCAATGATGATGCTGGAGTCCGGATTAATAAGAGTTTCCTTAGCATTATGAGCGATGCAGGTGGATTTGAAAATATGGACTTCATAGAGCGAGATGCGCGAAACTACATTGGCCAATACATAAGATCTTTATGTAAGGATGGTGATGGACAAGCCCTCCTACGACACTTTCCATCAATGAAAGATTTCAATAACGATTTCTTTTATGAAATTGTATTGTATGAAGGCAATACAATTTGTAGTGTCTTTTGGGCAGATGCAAGAACTCGAGACGCCTGTGAAGAATTTGGTGATGTGGTGTCTTTCAACACCACTTACTTAACAAATAAGTATGACATGCCATTTGCGCCTTTCGTCAGAGTTAACCATCATGGTCACTCCATTTTACTTGGTTGTTGATTGCTCTCGTCGGAGGACACTGCCTCTTTTGTATGGTTGTTCCAATCTTGTCTAAGACACATGGGTAATAAGCCCCCAAATGGGATTATAACTGATCAATGTAGGGCAATGGCGAATGCCATCGAAGAAGTATTGATGTAAGTGTTGATGTACTTGTCCGTAGCCCTTTAGCAGTGAAGCGAAAAGGACGACCACGCACCAACAGGTTAAAGTCAGTCGTTGAGAAAAGAACCAAAAAAGGGAAAACTTCATCATCCAAAAAAACTTCAACATCATTCGTACAAGATTGTGTAAGTAATGAAATTGTATGTTTCTTCCATTTATTACATCATTTTGTTACATGTATTCTAATTATAATTGTGTTCATTCAGGACAAACAATACCTGATGTGATAAAAAGTCCAGAGGTCGTGCAATATGGATCCCAATGTTACCAATCTTACCAAGTATCACAACAATCCGAAGTGTCTCCTTCTGGATTTATGTCTTTGTTGCCAACTGTACAAAACAATTTCGATAACAACATTGCTTGATGTAAATACTTCCTACTTCTTTTTGTATGCATATAACATTATTGTGTAAATGTTGTGTAAATAAATACATGATTTTTATGGTAAAGCATTGGTTGATGACCACTTTGAAATTAATTGAATGGGCCAAAAAACCTTCTCGTAATCGATTACAAGTTATCTGTAATCGATTATAGCCCGTACTGCGTACATATAACTACCCGCTCTTCAACGATTTATCCCCAC